ACCGTTGACATCGACACCCATTTTCATATGGAATAAAAATCACCTGTAGTGGAAAATTCACGGAATCTCACAAAACTCACCCTAAGTAGTACAGATACAAGATGAAGGTTGGCATTGTCGTAACTGGGCATCATACTATTTGAGATTTGGCTGGATTGCGCTACTTATTTAAATAAGAGGACTTTCCGTGCCAAGTTCTCGATCGTAGTAGGCTGCTGGTGTTTGCTGATCGGTACTCGGTGGTTGCCTTGGTTACCGTCGACAGAGGGCTCCTTTGGGAACTCTCGCTTCCAGAAGAAGGAGAGGGCTCGCTTGCTCGTCGTTTGGTCGGTTGGTTGCTTGGCTGATTTGCTGGTGCTGCCGGGTTGCCTTGGCTACCGTCGAACGACAGAGGGCTCGCTTGGGAACTCTCGCTCGTCGTTCGGTCGGTTTTCTACAGTTGCTTGGTTGATTTGCTGGTTCTGCCGGATTGCCTTGGCTACCGTCGTTCTGTCGGTTGGCTATCTAGCTGCTGTTCCTTCCTGCTTTCGAAGTAGATGCTACCTTTTCAGCGTCAGAATGGAGAATGACCCACATGGACAGTACACCCTCTTTAAATAATTGAAGGCTTTTACACTTCAACCAATCAGAGATTGCGAAGGGGAATTCAATCTCATTAGGGAAGTTCAAATATTCTTATTACTATTATTATTATTATAATTAGTAACGTCGATTACCTGTTGATTAATGGGGACATGACTTCGTTAATAGTTCCGTATTTTCTACTCTGGATATTGAAACACAATTATTATTTTCTTATTTATTTCATTTATTTATTTTATTCGCTCATCGCACCTTTATACTACAAGCATGGCCGACACTCCCTGGGAAGAAGATCCCATTTGTTTCGGTTCGTTAAGTTGGTTTTGTCTTCCACAGCTTGCATTCGCTTTCAAAAAGGTTCAGGTTTTTAGGTAAGCCAGCTGAACATCCGCTTTGTAAGGTACCACACACAGTCCATGTTCCGTTTTCTGCATTCCTGGATCAGGCAGGCGAGTGATTTGGATTGGTATAAATTTGCAGCGTTGTCATGGAATCCGACGCGATCTATTTCACCGGACTTCCTCACGTAAGAGGGAACTGTTTTCCGAGGTGATCCCCATGGGCGATGTCAGCGGATTTGGCTTCGTCAAACGTCAATTGATCGAGATGGGAGCTGTTGAGGTGACCAGAAAATTGCAAAAGCTAATTCCACAATTAGAGTACCCAAGTCCAACTTACTTGAAATGGATTTCTCCGAGAAGACTTTTCTCTCGTCCAGCCCTGTCCGAAAACTGAACTTCACCGAAATCAATGGCCTTCTTCTACTGCACAGTCGTATAGTGTTTGTTAGGCAAAGTTATCTCAGCGTAGGTTGCTGATCCTTTGGCTTGATCCCGTTTGCCGGCCTGTCGATGATTTCGTCTTCCAGTCGATGACTCCCAGCATTCCAAAACAAAAGCTCCGGAACGGTTTTCGCGCGGTTCATTTCATCAAGGTTGCCTCCGTTCCGGCAATCTCAATTCTTCGTCCGCGCTCTGCCCAGCCGGGTGTTGCTGGTTTGATTACACGTCTTTTTGGAACGCTTACTCGTGGTACTAACAGGTTTTTGTTCCGAAAAACATCCCGGAAATAAAACCCGCAGTTTGAGAATATTCTGTTTGAAGAAACTACGAGAGAGCGAGGTGACAAAAAAAAAAACTGCAAAATCTAAATCAGCAGTATACACTGAACGAACTCAACGCCGATATTAGGACCGAGGGAGAACCCGATTGAATGCGTAAAAACCGAACGCTAAAGATTTGGCTCAGTGATTTAAATCAGTTTAGTCGGATTCTTTATGTGTTACAGTATAATACTTGTCTCTATGTTAATACCAATTTAATTTTATGTTTAAAGCTAGAAAATAAAAACTACAAGGGACAGCCCTATGGGGTTGTACGCAATGGCGACGAAGGACTACGTGGTCTTATATAATAAATCCTATTTGTTAACTGCACCATGAGCTTGTGTTTTGTGTAGGAATAGGAATTTGAGCGGGGTTCTCTCTGTTTATACTCTTTAGTATGACGCGCTTGACATAGATGGCCCACAGAAACTCGCGAAGAGCTACTGATTCCGATCAATAGCGGTGCGGCTTCTTCCTCCTTCTATGGATGCTCATGTGGGCTGCATCTCGCTGCTTGCAGGCAGCCTTTCGTTGTGTACTGGAGAACAATGTTCAACGCCACGTGCCGAAAGCAATGCTGCTGCTGTTGCTGATGCCGACGACCGGATATCACCACACACATTGTAACTGAATCCGATCAGCGGTTGAGGTCAGCCTTGATCGCTAGCTGCTTGCCGAGAGCCTTTCGTTGTATACCGGATAATACCACCACTCACCACGCGGTGATTGAATAAACACGGTTTGGTGAGACCGGATGGAATTCAACTTTGAAATCTGTGTTAGGGAAATCGCTTTTCACAGGCAATTGGTGATAATTTTAATTGTCATAGCAACAATTGCACATTCGTGCATTTTTCAAATGTGACATTTTAAATAATAGAATTAAGACTTTACTTTACACAGATGCGTAGGAATATTTCTGATCGATTGGTGATAAAATTATTGAAATTGGTCCAGGGGCAGCTGAGTTATTAACGATCAAAATCTTTCATAATTCTGTTACATGTTCCATTTTCGGTTTTCACAAAGTGTACCCCCATATAGAAATTACAGACGTAGTCCTACGTCAAAAGTGGTTCGTTCTTCACAATGCAATGCAAAAATAATAAGTGAGGAATCATCCACACTACTACACTTAAAATCATTCATGTTACGCTCAGCTGTCTGTTTTGCTCAATTCTGCGTTCATTGAGAAGAATAGAAGCAATAAATACGAAAGAAATCAGTGAGGCTCGCACAAGCAACTGCTCGTTTCTGATGTTGCATGCGTGTGAGTGAGTAGTAAATGCAAAATGACACGATTTTTCTCATGCTTGGTTCTTGAAGTTTGATAATTTTGAAAATACGGAAGTCTATGGAATTTTCAAATGTCTAGACCACTTGAAATTGTTGAGATCTGAGATTTAAAACAATGTGTGATGTTTCAAAATTTGAACACATCTAAAATCGCAAACTTGAAGATATTTTTTTCAAGACTCCCAGACTATAAAATGATTTTTCATGGCAGATTTCTCTTCCTTTAACATATGATTACTTCATTCGAGGTTTGGCTCGCCTATTTTGAAACCTGATTACGCCCTTGCTCATTATTACCATTTTCTAGAAACTGCTTAAAATATGATACTAGAATATTCTTCAATTTTCAAAAGTCTTCACAACCCATGAAACGTTTTCAAATTTCTGTAGAATTTTTTGCCTTCACAGGATTTCAAATATCTACAAAATGCAGACATGTCGTCAAATCTGGCAACCCTGTGACTAATTTACCATGAAAACATCACAGAACGACACCGAAAGAAGAACAGTTCGTTGCCAAAAAGGCCAGTTGTCACGCGATTCGAGCAACAGTATTACCGGGTTTATGGAGCGATATTCCCCAAGAGTCGCCTATTTCCCTTGGGGAATATCGCAACCATTATCCTTATAACTGTTCTCATTTCGAGCTCACAAAAGTTTCACTGCAATCTGCCAATCGGTTTCTAAAGTTTTAATATTTTGAATTTTAGGGGACGAGAATGTCTACACCAACACACCAGCTCCTGCTTAACAATTTTGGATTTCTTATGGTTCTGAAAAGGTTTTCAAGGCTTAGAACGAACTTGAAGACCACAATAAACCCGAAAATTTTGCTTGGGCTATCAATTGATGAAAATAATTAGATGAGGTTGAACTATTTAAGAAAGGCAAGACCAAATGAGTGCTTCAGCATTAGATCAACTCAAAAAATGGCAACACTGTACCCCATTCGGATACCCCACTCGGTTTGTTATTTTCGCTCTCGTTTGTATATCCCCGAAGCAGGGAAACTTACACGGAATAACATGGCAAACCTTGTGCCATTGCGATCGTTCGTGGAATCCATCTCTCCTAGCTCGCGTGGTAGGTAGGGTTAAGTTTTAATTTTCGAACAACCCGATCTTTACCTTTCTTTTTCGAACGGGTTTGAATAGAACATGGAATGTTTCAATCAAACATGACTTCTGAATATATTTGATAAAGGATTTCAAATTGTTCAGATATTGTTAAAAATCTAACACTGGTTTTTGATTCCGTCATTTGATTCGCTAGGAGCGCTTCTTTTGTTTTCGAGAGCGTTCTTACAGACTTTGTTTTGCAGCTTTTGAACCAGTTCACGTTCGTTAACGCCGACATTATCGATACATATGTTTTTGATATTTCTACGCGATATGACGGAAATGGGCGCCTATGCCGAAGCAGTTCTCAACCCTGCCCCCTTTTTTGCGCGCTTTCTGAATGAAAACCAGTTTTGCGGTCCGATTCTCTCGAACGTCTCTATTTAGCAGTAAAGCGCAAAGCGATTGGGAAAATCCCAGCCCCAATGCTATCCGACACGAAAATCCGTGTTTACGGGTAGATCTAGAATACCTGGGTTTTGTACAGCTCGATGAACTAAAACTGCATGGAGAGCATTAAGAGATATACGCACCGACCGTCCTATGGATGGAAAGGCGGATATGCTGCTTACCTTGGATGGTTCGCTCTCTTCTTGTTTCCAGCTGTTGGGGAATTTTGAAGTTCTTGGGAGGCGGATGCACTGCGTGGTAACTTGTCATGTGACGTAGCGAGATACAAAGCCATTAGCTAAATATTTGCACTGGCTTGTCGAGATGTGCTGAGAGCAAAGTCCAAGTAGGCGGATTCGCGTGTCTCGCAGTCACTTGTCAAACAAGCAAGCCATAAAACTGCCGAATCATCATTATCGATCACAATTGCTCTGCGTGATCAGTTAAGACAGTGAGAGTATATTAACCCATCTTACTCACGTGTTAATCCATTGATCTTTAATTTACAGGAGCCACTCGACAGTCGCAAGTTCAATATCGAGCACAGTGTGAAGTGTGAAAGCATGCTCCGGAGATTAGCGTATTATCAGCAGAGAATTCTCGTAAATGCGGCGACGTCGACGGCGATGGGCGTCCTTCCACGACGTAGCAGCCATCACGCAGCCCGTTATCATGGCGACGGTGGCGACGAGAAAAACAGATCACTAGATCCGCGCGGCAGTGAAAACATTCCAGCTAAAACGTAAGTTGATGAAGACGGTGCGAATATTTTCAGTAACAATAACAACAACAACGTTTTTTCCGCCCTGCTGCCATGGGTGTTGTTGATAAGGAAGCAGGCGAAATCGGCGGCATTTGGGTCGCATTTCGCTAATTGTATGTGAATTATAAGACGAAGAAAAACAACAATAATAATATGTGTTATAAAGTCAACAAATTGCCGCACGTAGAAACGCGTTATCAACGCTCATTCTCGGGAATCTCCCCTGTTGCCTAGAGAGACCGGTTAGAGCAGAGAAAAGTCAAAACAAGTATTTTCCTGATCTTCTCCGAACCGCGCGGCGGGGGATGGCGTTTGTTGATCGTTCCAGTTTAACACGAAGAATGTTTAAATGTATAAATGTTTCATTATGTTATGATCGTAATATGGTAGAAAAACAATCTGTTTGCCTCACGTGAACTGTGTTTATTTTTTGAAAGTGTTTTGTTGTTTGTGTACAGTTCCTATTTGTTAACAACGTAAAAGTTAACGGAATTTCAGTATCAGAATAACATAAACATTTTTACTTGACTGCTCGGACCATTCAATCAATTTACACTCTCTAAAAATACACTGAACCGATAATTGATCCCATTGCAGTTCGAAGATCGTACCATCCGTTTATTGATGGAATGATTGATTGTCACCACGATCCCCACCCATTCTCCAAAATAGATCCGCCAGATCGAAGCTAACATTAAAAGCAATCAAATTTGTCGAAATAACCCGTAGTGCCGGAGTACTATTCCAGTATTTATTGAATCTGCAAGTATTTGCCGGCATATTTTTGGACTAAATTTTCACTATAGTTAACATTGCGAAAAACTTTCCTGTATCAATTTCCAACAGCAAAACTTTGGCGCAGCAGCAAATTTGGGAATCTTCGTTTGATCGATCCGCAACAATTAAGCGGAAAATTGAAACAGCAAACCTCTATGATGTTAATTTTAATAATGGGGGCTGGTTTCCGTGAACGTGCCATGGTACAAGTCTTAGCTATTTCAGGGTTCTCTTGAACACTTTGGAGAGACGTGAGAAACGGATCGATCACGAACAATGTTGACGGATAATTTACTCCAATAAACTGGATCGCAGTGATTGGGAACGAGAACTAGAGCAATCTAGAAGCGTCTATTTCGGGACAATACCAGTTCGATTGGAGTCTTTAACACGTGGTATGGAGTGAGGGGTTTCTGATAGATTTAGATAAACGACGGCTGAGTTCAGGCTTGTTTTGAAGAAATGGGATGCATTTATTCATGATATTTTTTGTTAGTCTACTTATTAATAAATCAAGTTGATGCTGAATTTTTGCATTTCTGCTCAACCAGTTGGTCGATCTACTTATGCCACGTATAGCTAATAATCGTCATCAGCTTCTGTGCCTCAACGCTTGGATAGTTTGTTGCTAGGTTGACGCTTTGGACTCTTCTGTAGGTACTCGTTGCACTTCAATAATTTGTTTCATGGTTGTTGTTGTTGTTGTTGGAATCATACCTGTTCAAATGTGTCGTATTCCATTTATCAAGACTGAAAATATCATACTGTAATAAGTTGACCATCCAGTTTGAACTAGATTTTTAGGTTGAGTACCTACAATCAGCTCACTCGAGTGCACTGATAAGCGACTTGTGGTAGCATACTAGGCTAACATACGGCATCCTACTGACTTGCCTGGCAGATGATATTATTATTTCCAAACTGGCATCAGTGTACCATCATACCTTCTCCCTTCCACTCGCAGGCTGCCTGCGTTGAGAGCACATGCAAAAAAGAGCGGTTGGCTTCGCGGAAAAAAACACTGGGACAGATGACGGAGTCTCTCTCCTTGTGGAGCCGGACAGACTCCTGAAGAACCCCATCGGCCAGGAGCTCTCCCGGTAGCCAGGATCCACCGGTGTGGAGCCAGGGGTTGGAAATTGCACGGAATATCTACCGATTTCTCGATCAAGAACAAGCTCCGCGCGGGAACAAACTCCCTCGAACTTGTGAGATCAGTCATCGAACTACAGCAAACCAAATACAGAAACCAAGAGATAAGATACACGGATGAGCTAGCGGAAGAGCTGGTATTGGAATCTCAGATACGGAACTCAAACTTCCACCAACTCCCGGATCCCTGCATCATATTCTCTGCAGAAGCAGCCGCTATCTTACTTACCTTACAAATCAGGCTAAGGCCTTGTTGTTCATCTGCAGTCCGAAGAAGTCGTCTCCACTCTACTCGATCCATGGCCACACTTCGCCAGCCTCGTAGGCTGCGAAGGGTCCGCAGGTCGCTGCGCGCCTCTTCTTCTTGTTCCTGTTGGGTCGCTTTCGAGAACCATTTTCACTGGGTCGTCGTGCGACAATCTTACGACGTGCCCAGCCCACCGTAGTTGCCCAATTTTTGCAATGTGGACGATGGATGGTTCTCCCAGCAGCTGGTCCAATTCGTGGTTCATTCGCTTCCTCCACCTTCCGTCATCCATCTGCACTCCACCACTCGAAAACACTAAGGGCGCGTTGGTCCTCCGCGAGCATAGTCCAGGTCTCGTGGCCGTAGAGCACCACCGGTCTAATCAGCGTCTTGGAGATAGCCAACTTCGTGCGGCGGCGAATTTAATTCGACCGGAGCGTCCTCCGGAGTCCAAAATAGGCACGATTCCCTGCCATAATGCGTCTTTGAATTTCTCTGCTGGTATCATTTTCGACGGTCACCAGTGAGCCCAAATACACGTCACCGTCACCGTCAATCTGAGCTCGGGGTGGGAGGCTAACATTGTCTTCCCTAGAACCTCTTCCTTTCATGTATTTTGTCTTTGATGGCAAGTCCAATTCGCCTAGCTTCAGCCTTCAGTCTGATGTACGTTTCCGCCATCGTCTCAAAGTTCCGTGCCATGATGTCGGTGTCATCGGCGATGCCAAGAAGCTGGATGGACTTTCTGAAGATCGTGCCACTCGTGTCTATCGCAGCTCTTCTGATCACACCTTCTAACGCGATGTTGAATAACAGACACGAAAGTCCATCACCTTACCGTAACCCCCTTCGAGATTCAAAGGGACTCGAGAGTGTCCTCACTCGATCCATCGTCGCTTTGACCAATCGCGTCAGTTCTCTGATTCCGCCAGCGTACTAACCACGCTCCGTTCCGACATGGCCAAACACCCATGAATCCAGGGAATCCAGAAATTCGTTCCCAAGGGAACAACTTTCGTTTGTATCTCTGGGCACTTTGGAGTGCAATGAAATGAGGAGGCTGACCACCTTGCACCTTCAGGAAGGCAGTCCAGTCTTTACACCCGGAAGATCCCTGCGGAAAACCTAAAACGATGTTGGTTGGAAATGCTATCTAACATGAAGTTTTATTGTAATAATTTATTAGCTAGAGAATGATCTTAGAAGAGGGTAGGTGGATAGTTCTGTTAGAGTACGGCGGTATGAAAATTGAATAGAAGTTGAAAATGAGCGAAGGGGCTTAATGCGACAGTACAAAGTCAAACGCACACCTTTTGCCTAACCCGTACGATTTACGCGGAGATTTGAAGTATGTCTTCAAATCTACAGGCAAAAAGTGTGCGCCCGCCTTTGCTCATGACTGTTTGCGGCTGGGGCTGTGGAATAGTTCTAGCGACGTTTCATTACTACCTAAAGCCCCACGTTGCCAAGAGCCTGTAGATTTGAAGACATACTTCAAATCTCCGCGTACATCGTACGGGTTAGGCAAGATGTGTGCGTTTGTCTTTGTACTGTCGCATTAATGGCCCTTCGCTCATTTTCAACTTCTATTAATTTTTCAGACTGTCGTACTCTAACGGAACTATCCACTTACCCTCTTATAAGATCATTATCTAGCTAATAAATTATCACACTAAAGATTCATGTTAAATAGCATTAACCAACTCTGAAAATCGCGGAAGTAACATAGAAACATTTTAAATTAATCTAAAACGATGGTTTTCTACCACAATGTGGAACTGCCGGACCACCGAATGGTTTCAATCTAAAAGGGGACACCCGGAGATGGGAAGACCCACCACAGCACCGGCATAATGTTGTCCTATCTCGGTTACGAACCGGACATACTAAAGCCATTCACAACATTGTGAGGTGGGGGTCGATTCAAGAAAACGAGGTGTGCAATAATCCAAACACGGTAGAACATTCTGTTAGTAACTGCCCCCAGTACGACCAGTCCAGCATTGCTGCACTCTTTGGGTTTCTGCGGGAGGCAGGACTGCTCAAGCAAATCTGACTCAACGAACGATAACCAATGATAACCCGGGTCGGGACTTGACAATTCAGCTTCTCACTGTTCTTAATGTTTTAGATGAATGCCCGTCGAAAATTAGTGCATGGTGTTTGATGGAGTTGACCAATGATGCCAGGATTGCAAAATGGTTCTGTTCTTTTCATTCCACGATTGCTACACTTTATCAAACCACCGTCCTCTGTTCGAATGACCATTCAAATCGAAACATCGAAATCGCCTTTCCGAATGATAGCCGCAACCGGATGACGGATTGCTTTGAAATTAGATGATTTTCCTCTCGAATACAGAATGAACATTGTTATGAAAAGGGATAGGGCCTTCAGTTGGAATGCGTAATACTCAATGCAGAATGATAGTCATCTTAAATTGAAATTAATTTCGTATTGGCTCAGCCTCTTAACGCAAAAATTATTGCTCTGAGCAGACAAACGAGGTGGAAGCATATCTATCGCTATCAGAGGTGGTAGGAGCATTGATAAAGCGTGGAAACCGTAAATTGTAAAAAAAAAAAATATAAAAAAAAAAAAAAATAAAATAAAAAAATTAAAATATTTTTGTGAGTTAGTGTGTCGCGCTCTTTCTTTCGTGGTTTGTCGTGCGTGTGTGTGTGCCCCGATATGGGGAAGCATCGCTCGCGAAGCCCGGTGAAGGACCAGGACGCCGGTGAAGGTAGCTCCGGTGTGTCCACATCGAACAGGTTTGCTGTTCTTCCCATCGATGAGCATACCC